GAAAGAGGGGGCAAGGCTGTGGTACTATGGAGAAATGAGCGACCGTGTCTCCAGACAGCTGGTAGCAATGATGTGTAGGAGACAGATGGGCATTCCCTCTGATTTTTCCCTCAGATAAAGATGTACCCCCTGGAGGCTGAGTTTTGTTCAGGAACTTGGAGTGACTCATAGATTAACATTGTCTTACGCGGAAGCGCCTGGGTGTTAGTATAAGTTCATCCAGGATGGGGATGTATGTTTCAAGCATAAAACACTTGTTGCTAGATGAGGAGTTAGCTGTTTTCTCAACACTGGCAGGACTCTACTTGCACAGCAAGTGTCACCAGCAGGTGTGTGCTCCTTTAAGGAATGAAGGGGACAAAGAAATGCCCCAAAGATAAGCTGCCTCTACCAGTGCTTGGCTGGCCTCCTCACTTCCCTTAAATCTTGTATTCTTAATTAAACAAATCGAGAACTTAGTATTTGTTGCTTCTTCCCACCGGACCATAACCCATATTAAGTGCTGTCACTGTTATTATCCAGAGAGTATGATTGTAGTATTACTTTAGGTCGCCTTTTTTTCTTGGCTAAACATGTTGGGCATGTCAGTGAGGAGCAGAATGTTAAGCGAATATTTGCTGAAAATGGCACGATCCAGAGAACTGGTCTAGTCAACTGAGGCAATGCAAAGATTCAAGGGTTGTAGGAAATATTTTAAAGCATTCACTTATTTTTCTTAAATATGAGGAGTTACTGGAGATTTCTAAAAATAGAAAATTTAAACACTGATATAACAAAAAGGCAATTTATGTTTGTGTGTCACGCTTTAATGAAAAAGCTTTATGAACTCTGTTTTTACTTTAGCCTCCATAGTTATTCATATATAAAACATATTAATAAAAAGCTGCCGGGAAAGAGACTGCACTATGCTTTGCCAGCATTTCTACCTGAAAACGAGAGGGCTAATTAAATTGCTGTCTTCACAGTCGTGGGAAAGCTATAGGATGTGTGTTAAGTGCAATGCTCCCCTGGATCTGCACTGCCAGTATTTCAGAGCAAATATCTTTTTTCTATTTAAATGGAAATCAGGGAAGTCCAGTGTCTAGCGTATGAACTCATTTCTCCCCTTCACCCATGAGCCCAGCCACTGTTCAGGGCCGAGAGGGCAGCAGGAGGGCCCTGAGCCGGCTGCTTTCTGTGCTGCCCCTGCCGCTGAAGCATGGTCAGGAGTGCCTCTACCTTTGCCCTACATTACAAACCAGGGTGGGGAAACATTTCACATTTTGTTCAACAACGCAAATGGCAAGCACAGCATTAGTGAGGAAATGCCCAATTAGCTCAGGCCCACTGTGTCTTTCAGAGTCTCTGCATTTTGAGTACAAATACAAGCCAAATAAAAGGTCTGTTTCAAATTTAAAAAGTGTATAACCACAATAAATAATTTTTATAAATAATTTTAAGAACTACCACTGCGACTTATAAAAATGAAAACGGATTTGTAAGTTCCGGCACAGAAGTCTAGGTCAGAATATTTGGGGTAGGGCCCAGGCAGGGGTCTCTCCATCCTTGCCATTCAAATGCGGTCCCTGGCCCAGCAGCAGTTGGCATCCGTCACCTGGGAGCTTGTTAACAAGACAGAATCTGGGGCCTCCCTCACCATAAGACTGACTGAATCCGAATCTGAATTTTAACAAGGTCCTCAGATGATTCATGTGAACATTAAAGTTTGAGAAGTACTGCTCTGCTTGATTCTGAATTTTGTCTCTGGCCAAGTAACACTGATTTAAAAGAACAATGTTTCCATATGAACATAAAGAAACTGTAAATCACTTTGTTTTGTTTTGTTAAAAAGCTTCTGGTGTAACAATGCCCCAAACAAAACAATGTTAAAATCTAGAAGGATTGGGATTATCAAATAATATGTACAATAAAACAAGTTAATACTGTAAGTCTTGAAAAAAAAGAAAATATTTTTAAAAGCAACACAGCAAAGACAAAGGCTCAACTTGAGAATAATTCCCCGATGTTTCTGTAAGTGGCAATACCTTTGGCATGTTGGATAGTGCGATGTGTCTGCTCTCTCTTCTTATCTTGATTGAAAAGTTGGCTTTGAACGACGGTTCATCAAAGCAAGGGAATGCCATTCTTGCCTCGGTTGGCTCAAAATCTGTCACTGCGATTGTTCTGTGAAAAGAACCACCCCCAGCCAGAATACATAAGTGAGACCAAGACAGAAATGAATTTGTGCCTTCAGAACAATCCTGGAAGTGACATATTTAATTTCATAAGCTATAATTTTTGAGAATCCAGGCTTTATTTTTTCCCCCCAAATAAACGAGGGTAACTTTTAGTTAAGTGGCTGCCAATTGTGAATAATGCCTGGTGCTGGGCACTCCACTTACAGGATCTCCTCCATTCTCCTAGCAGACAAGGATTTAAGGCTCAGAGAATTGGCGTGACCTTACCTGGATCCTTAGCTAGTAAGTGGCTGAGAGAAGCATGCATGTCTAGTCAATTTGAGGTCAAAATTGACTAGGAAATTAGTAGGTCAGTACCATCTCTAAACCTATTGGGATCTCAACCAGACATATAACTAATTGTGGGTCATGACTTAGGATGTGTTCCCAGGAAGCAGACACTGATTTATTAAGAAAATTCTGCCAAAAGAAAAGGGAGTGAGAAAAGCAGGACAGGGAAGAGGAAGAAGCCAGGCCACGTTCTAGCTTCAGCCTGATTCCAATTAGTAGGTCAGTACCATCTCTAAACCTATTGGGATCTCAACCAGACATATAACTAATTGTGGGTCATGACTTAGGATGTGTTCCCAGGAAGCAGACACTGATTTATTAAGAAAATTCTGCCAAAAGAAAAGGGAGTGAGAAAAGCAGGACAGGGAAGAGGAAGAAGCCAGGCCACGTTCTAGCTTCAGCCTGATTCCCAGGAGCTCTGGAAAGAAACTCCAC